ATTTATTGTAGAGATGAGGTCTCGCCAAGTCGCCCAGGCGGGTCTTGAACCCACAGGCTCAGGCAATCCACTCACCTCAGCCTCCCAAAGTGCTGGGATTACAGGCTGAGCCATGGATCCGGCCTCAAGAGGAATTCTTAGAAGGGAAAGTTAACTTAGGTAGGGCGACGGGTGGGGCCCTGGGCATGCATCCCTGCAGTGTGAACTTGAAGCTGTAGCCTAAGAGAGGTGAGACGCTGGAATGTAAAGTACACAACATGAACTGAGTTAAATACACTCACGGTGCTCTCACAGTTACTTCCGGCTCTGTGTGCCAGTTCAAACCAGAGTGCTCTCTCAAATTTTTTCGTGGCCGTTCTAGAAGTATAATCTTTTCTTCCTGGATGCCTGGTCTGTCTCTCAGTGTCCTCATGGCCCTCTCTGTCACAGGCTTAGTTTCCCCTTACTGCACTCACTGACCTGTGTTAGTGGCCCCAGGGGCCAGATTCCCTCAGCTCATCTTTGAGTTCCCACCTCACCACGTCCACAATCAGCCTGCTTGCTTTCCTCCATGAATCTGTCCCTGTGCACCACCAGTTAGAAGCTTCTATATGAGGCTCTACCCCTTCATCGGACCCATTTGCCCAGAGTGCTGCTGGGTGCAAGAGGCATCTAGAAAGGGTATGGATATTTATGTCATTCAAGTCTGATTTCAGATCAGGACTCTGATGCTAAATAAGTGCCTCTAGACGATTTGTTTGACCTCTCTGCACCTCACTGCTATCCTCTATAAAGTAACATTTTGTGAGGATTAGAATGAATGTGTGCCAAGGGCCTGCCTTGCAGTGGGAATTCAGGGAAAGCAGCTGCCTCTGGTGAGCTGGGAGGGACAGAGTGGCTGCAGTAATTTGGGAACAATGGCTGGAGATTGGGTTTAGAGAAAGGACTATCGCTCTTTTCTGATGGTCTTTCTGACTGTAATGTGTACTGATTTACAGGCAGAAGACAAGGCTGATGTGTTGAATAAGGAGCTTCTCTTGACCAAACAGAGGCTGGTGGAGACTGAGGAAGAGAAGAGGAAGCAAGAAGAAGAAACTGCCCAGGTAAAGGCACTGTAGACTTTTCTTTACACAGGTATGCGTTTAGGGAGTTGATCAGAATTGTAAATAGGAAGTGGAATTAAGCATGTTCTGAATCACAGGTAATGCTGGAGCAGTGGGTGAGTAGTTGGGCCTGCTTCCTCAGCATTTGGGGCTGACGCTTTTGACATTTCTTTTGAAGACTATGAAGAGAGGAGGCAGCATTTCTACCCTTGGACAGCCTTTAAGAGTCTGCCTTGGCCAGGCTCGGTGGCTCAGCCTGTAATCTCAGTGCTTTGGGAGGCCGAGGTGAGTGAATTGCCTGAGCCCGCAAGTTCAAGACCCGCCTGGGCAACTTGGCGAGACCTCATTTCTACAATAAATCAAAAATTAGCTGGGTGTGGTAGCGCATGCCTGTAGTTCCAGCTACTTGGAAGGCTGAGGCGGAAGGATCGCCGGAGCCCAGCAGGTTGAGGCTGTGGTGGCTGGGAGCGGCCACTGCACTCCAGTCTGGGTGACAGAGTGAGACTCCAACTCAAAAAAAAAAAATAAAGAATCTGTCTTGGCCGGGCATGGTGGCTCAGCCTGTAATCCTAGCACTTTGGGAGGCCGAGGTGAGTGAATTGCCTGAGCCCGTGGGTTTGAGACCCGCCTGGGCAACTTGGTGAGACCTTGTCTCTATAATAAATAAAAAACTAGCCAGGTGTGGTAGCACGCACCTATAATTCCAACTACTAGGAAGCCTGAGGCAGAAGGATCACCGGAGCCCAGCGGGTTGAGGCTGCAGTGGCCGCTCACGGCCACTGCACTCCAGTTTGGGCGATGGAGTGAGACTCCAACTCAAAAAAAAAAAAAGTTTGCCTTCACTAGGATATCTAAAGAAAGTGTTGAGTTTCCTCTAAGTTTAGTGACTAGGAATTATGATCCAAGAGCTCTGACGAAACTGCAAGCTTCGCGTGGAATGTCCAAAATACTGGCGTGTCTGTAGCAGTTGATGAGCACAATCAACTGAGGCCTACCGGGAGCTCTGCTGGGTACTGCACAGGGTTGGCCTCAGTCACGGGTCATTGTCCTGAAGCACACCTGGAGGAGCAGCTGCCTCCTGGGCTGAGTGTTCAAGCCTGCTCCTAGGGGAATGTAAAAAAGTCTTCTGGGGGCTCGCTTGAAGTGAGCACCCTGTCTTCTCCATGGGAGCTGCAAGGGCCAGTCATCCAAAAACCCTTGCCATTAGGAGGATGGCCTGGATATGGACCTCTCATCCCCAGAAAGGAGCAGGCTTCTCTCCAAGGCCTCCACCTGTGGGGACGTGGCTTGGATGATGAGTTAGATTTCCTCCAAAACGAGTGAAGTCTCCTGCCAAGAACTTGCTTGAATTTTACTCATATAACTCACTTAGACAGTGAGGGAACTTCTTAAGTCATGAGTAACTTATTTTAATGAGTTTCCTTCTGAGACATCAGTAATCCGAAATATAAAACACAGCATAAAGCATTTCAAAGACGCATATCCAAGCAACCAGAGAGAAGCTCTGCCAGTGTTGCACGTGGAGGGATATATCATCCAGCAACTCCCAGGGTTTATAAAAAGGCTTCCAGAATCCTTTTCTTCTTCGAAATGATGGTTAGTCTTTGGCATTTACAATGGCCCGAGATTTATTTCTTACCTACTCAAGATTTTTCAGGGGCTGATTACTCAGTTTGAGATGATCTAGGTCTCTTGATGAACTTGGTTTTTTGTTTTTTTTCACCTCCTTCCTTCTTTGGGCCACTTCAGTACTTTCGGTGAGGAATAAAGCTATTGGTGAATGAATTTAACCCATGTTCTACCTGCTCCATGGTCCTAGATGTATATCAGGTCCTGGGTACTTGATACCTAAAATGGGAAAGGGCCAGGCATGGTGGCTCATGCTTGTAATTCCAGCACTTTGGGAGGCCAAGACCAGAGGATTGTTTGAGGCCAGGAGTATGAGACTAGCCTGGTCAACATAGCAAGAACCAATTGCTACAAAAAAAATTTTTTTTTTTTGAGTTGGAGTCTCACTCTGTCGCCCAGACTGGAGTGCA